ATAATCAGATACCCACCATTTTTTAATGTTTCCCACTCTCAGTTATATATTAATGATCTTAGGTTGGTGAGTATGGTGTGTAAAAATTTAGGAGGATCCATAGTCAGAAATGGAATATAACATTTATAGGTATGTTTTCATTAGTGTATAATCATCTGAATATAGGAATCGTGTTACCTTAGAATGATCCGTTTTATTTACAGAGGGAGCGGGTCCTCTTCTGTGGAGTCCACCATGTTTCTACAGAAGCCCAGAACGGACAAACCAAACACTGGCTATAGATAGGGTCTTTCATGTTTTTGCGAGTTCTGCAGCCACAATAGTTTCTCCTACAGGCTGTGCAGTATTCAAATTAGACACATTTATATCCACTGATGAATTTAAGGGCATCATAGGCTACATTCACACTGCAAGCCTGAACGCTCAGTTCAGATTGTTTTGTTTGGCTGTTCACATTTTTAAAATTTGGCCAATATCAGATTCCTGAAGGTCCTGAGGTCACACTGCAAAGAATCAGACCTATATCACACTGTCATGGAAGAAATCAGATCCGAGTCACATATGAGCAAAACATTTGGTTTACTTTGGCCTGCAGTGTGAACGTAGCCTTAAAGAATGTGGTGACGGAGGCATGTGGTAGTTTTTTTGTAAGAGGCCAATGTGTTTAAGTAGTTGTACTTCTGTTTTATTGTGCATTTTTGTATTTCATGTTGAACATGTTGTATTATGATATGTTGTGAGGTTGCAGTCTTCATGGCTAGATGTCACTGAATCCTACACACTGGCCCTTTAAGTCAAACCTTCAGCTGAATTACACGCCGGTTAAAATGTCACCAATGATCATCTGTTACAGCGTTTACTTGCTTTGGCTGAATACTAAAGGGCACCTCAAAGTGTGACATTAGCTGTGGACGTTTAGCCGATTACTGCACAGGCAAAGACTCAATGTGGCTATGTGTGCGTTTGTGACCAGTTTGGAATTATTAATAATGATAATAATAAGTACACCCATAAATATTGAATAAATATTGAGAATGGTTGCGTGAGCATAAATTATGAAGACAAGTTTACACAGAACGCCCTCACTTCTTTCTCCACCAAATGAGCTGTTCTTCAACCCGAGACAAGTGATAAATCATAGTAGGTACAATCCACAGACAAATATTAATAATCCTACAACAACAAATAAATACAATAGCTTTGACCAGCAAGCAGCATTATACAATCTTCACAATTCTGCATTAAAGGGGCCAGAGTTAAAGTTCTGGATGTTACTACTGTACATGTCACGCATGAAACGCAACGTTTCTTCCTTCTGATTGGTTGGTTTCGAGTTGTGAGACAAAGGAAAATGAACCGTTGAACATCAATGACACGTTCCTGAGTCTTCATTAAACATCTGCACTGTTTAAGGAATAAAGTGCTGAGAATTAACAAATGCAGTTAAGCTGCTACAAGTCTTAACTGTTTAAAGGACTATTGCACTTCAACAGGCTTTCCCTCCTCTGGTAAACTCCTTATCGTGGGGTACAGGAAAGGGTCTGTCCGTATAATTTTGTATCAGGGAAGACAATTTGAAGATGTCAGGTTTGTATTTTCCTTCATCTTGGCAACTCAAAACTCAAAACTGATAAATATGAAAGAGTTAGTTCCACTGTAAGGGGGTAGAGCACCTACTCTTATTATTTCATACATCTCTGCTGGCCCTGAGGTACCTGGACTCCACCCTTACGCCATGTTCATCTCCACTGCTATTTGTTCCATTTGTAGATGATGGTTATTTAGATTTAAAAAGGGTGTATGTTCTCTGTATGGGATGGACATGCACTGCGCCAAGTGTTAAACTTCTGACTGTTGATTTATTTTCAAACATTGTTAGAAAACTTAGTTCTGGGACCTTTTTCCTTATACTGTACAGCAGTGGTTCTCTTCTTGTCTCTACTTGTGGAATTTAATAAACTGAGGACTCCTGACTCGGTGACATATTTTATGGATATTTCATATTATATTCAAAACTATTCAATGAACCCAAACTGTTAACTGCAGGAAGGTTATGTAAAACTTTCTTCAGGGATTTTTATAAAATTATCTGTCTGTATTGTGTTTTTTGTTTTGTTTTTATTATCATTTTTAACAATCATACATAATAAACAGGCTTCTTTTTGGACAAATTGTCCCTGCCACCTGGCCACTGTTTGATTAGGCAATTTAATTTACTGTTTTTCACAGAAGTGAACAAAATGTTGAGCTATAGGCCTACTGTTTATATTTCTCAAGTTTTCTTAAAAACAAGAAGGCCTCCCAACACCCTGTGAAGCGCTGGCGACCCCTAGTGACGGTCCTGACCCCCAGGTTGAGAACCACTACTTTACAGTAATTTTTAGTATGCAAGGAATACCTTTCTGTTGATACTATTTAATTAAAAAGAAACCAGACTTTTATGTTCTTCATCCTGCTTACTGACCACCTACAGTATGACTGAAGTCCAAAGAACATTCATGAACAAAGGAAATCATATCATTCACTATATTAAGTTGCCATTTCCTTGACATGCACTGAAGTGATATCATATCACGTAGGAAGATGAAAGTGGAGGCCTGGACCAAAGACGTTCACAGTTTCAAAAATCCCTTGTACACTCTACCTTCCTTTAACTAGGCTGGTGAAGTACTCACCATCTGTGCATCTTCATACCTCAGAGAATCTGTGTTAGTGTGTTGGTGGTCTGCTAACATGACATGACAAGGATCAGATGTGTATCTAGGGACTTCAAAATTGGAGGTAATTAGATTAAATTAACACTTATTATAAGTTTTACCAGAAAGATTGGTGCTCGAGTACAGTTTCTTCTTCCTGGGATCGCTGCTGGAGAAGTGAAAATTCTGGATGACCTCCTAAGTATACTAAAACCTACATTGTACAGGTTTTTTATTTGTGCTGTATAGATTCAAAACACAAACACTGAATCTGTCATATGCCTGTTTAAACAAGTCATTAAAATCACTTTTTGGGGCCAAGAAAATAAATTTGTCCTAAATATTAGAATCCAGTGATCCTCTACAGCGTGTGAAAGCAAACGCCATGCTCTGCAGCCTGAAAGACAAAAAAAAGAAAAAAAGAAAAAAGAAACCCCAAAAGACAAGGACAAACACACACAGTAAAAGCTTTGGACCTGAACTTATCACACACATAATAAGATTAAAGCGCAATCACTCATCTCTTCTCGCCAGTGTTTGCATATTGTACCGTACATAGAATAATGGCGCATTCGGCTGGTCACTGTAAACTGGCAAACTTGTATATTTACGTATCACACGACAAACTGCTATGTACAAGGTAAAAGCATTGTGGGTGCTTGCTCAGGTGAAAAAAGTAAGGACCAATAAAATCTGAGGTAGCAAATTCAACTATGATAAACTAGAATCACTCAAGCTTTTTTTTTTTCTTTTGAAATCAAAGCAGACTTCATCACTTTGATAATCAAACACAACTTCTCTGTTTCTCTGTAAGGTCACAACTCATAGCTTGTGGAATTAGTAAGCTGGGGTTTCCTGCTTCTTTAAATATTTATAGTTTGCTGTTTTGGTGCACTGTTCTCGTGGTAAACTTGTAAGTTTGCCAGTTTACCTGTTTGCGACACTGCCTGAGCATGCCATATGTTCTTCACTCACTAGCAAATCTGTACAATGTTTATGATAGGGCAGCTGATATGTTCATCGAGAAAATTCATGGCTTTTAACCCTCCAGTTCCCACCCCTGAGGTGCAAACCAGCCAATCCAGTGTGCTCTTGGGAAGGGGGGAGCCTCAGCTCCGCCTCTGAGGGCGGGGCATCAGGGGGAGGGAACCAATAGAAGGACGGCAGGTTTCCTGTTAGGCCAGCTAACACTACACTTCACCAACCAGTTTGTGAGTTTATCGGAAGCGCCACGGACATAGAGAATAGAATAATCATTATATCAATAGGATTTTCAGTGCAAGACGTAAATGGCTACTTGTTCGTCATTATTCTGTCCGTTGTTGTCTTTTCTTGTTCTCGTCAGTCATCCAACACTGGATACAGCAGTAAAGGGATTCTTCTACAGGTTAGCAGTCACTTAAGTGTGTGTGAAGATGTGTCATCCTCAGAAGATGACTGAGAGGCAGACCAGATCAGTCAGGGTTGACCTGGAATGTGTTCATTTAGAGGCAGAGCTTCTCTCTGCTCTGTTTGTGGTTTTGGTTAAAGGTTGTACCGTTGTGGAGTTCAGAAAGCTCCAGATGTTTTATGAGGAGAGGGGGGGTGGTGGACTTGTGGAAGAGAGAGACAGAGAGAGGCCTGGCATCACTCTCTCTGAGCTGTGTGTCCTTTCTCGAGAGGTCAAAGGTGAAAGATACAGTAGCTGGGTTCCCCAAAGGGTTTTGGTAGTAGGTACAGTAAGTGCCATGAGGGACAGCAGGATCACTCTCATTCTCTCTCTGTATCCCTCCTTCCATCCGCCTTCACCTTTTCCTTAGCTCCCCCCTGGGTCGGAGCCGTGTCTCTGTGGTGTCCGTGAGTCCAGAGGTGTCTGTGGTTCTTGGAGGGACCGCCTCCTTTGGGTTTCAGGGTCTAGGGATGATACCCCTGTTCCAGCCGCTGGCCCAACCCCAGCCCCCATACACAACCCTGAAACAAAGTCTAACCCTGCTCCTACGCCAGATCCAACAGCTGCCCTGCTCCCTAAATCTAATCCTAAACCTGAACCCACTGCTGGCCCTGAAATGACACCAGGCCCAGTCCCCAGGCCCAGCTCCAGCTCCAGATGCTGCCCCAGGCTCTCTAGTCCAGAGGGGGCAAGCTGGCCCTGGCCGGTGTTGATCAGTGTGAAGTCCTGGGGCTGCAGGGAGTCAAGAGGCTTGGCTGGGAACTCCTCAAAGTCCTGGGAATCCAAGATCTGCAGGGAAAGGAACTGAGAGGTCAGTGGGACTGGCTGCTACAACTCTTTTACCTCTTACTCCTCACAATGTCAAATTTCAAATATAGCGTCATTCATTAACCCAGTGCTTTGTGGGTTTCAGTGTTTGATATTAACTGGAGACCAATGACAGCATTCAAACACGTAGCTCCACAGAATACAGTCAAATGTATTCATATCATTCAGGACTGCAATCATTTTATTACTGCATGTAGTTCACCTGTGATAGGGAGGCCAGGGTGTCTGTCTCCAGAGGTGTAACAGGCTGGACCAGTCTCTCCTCTGGACCTGGTCCTGGGCCGGGAGCAGGGTAGGGTGAGGCCTGCAAGAGACAACATCTTATTTGTCTGCATGAAGTGTAGCCTTCTGTCTTGGTCAGTCTCCAACAATAATGGAAAGCTGTCTTTCATCCTCCTGTTGTTAGGGTGACTTATTCTTGTTCATAGACAGATGCTTGCTGTTACAACCCCCTGTGACAACAAGCTTCTACGTAATACCCTGTGTGTGTGTGTGTGCTTAAGTGTGCTTTTACCTGAGGTGGTGATGAAACGGCGCTGTAGGCAGGAGGAACCAGGGCCATCTGTCTCTGCAGCAGCTGCATGATTGCTCCGATGTCTGTCGACATGCGACTCTCCAACCTGCACACAGTGTGTAGTAGGTGATCAAGACATTAAAGCTGTGTTTTCTGCTGACATTATCTATGACATTCAATACTCCAATTTAAATGAAATGTCTTTCTTTCCTCCTGGGTCTAATTTTGTCCATTGTTATTATCAGTTATAATATTGATTTAATTGCCAAGATTTAGGAACAGAAACGTCTGAATGATGATTGTTCATTGCAAAGAAACCTGTGTGGGAGAGGTACTATGGTAAGTAGGTCAGAGCTCTCCCAGGAAATTGCACAATGTAACGGACATTTAACAGACTGACTGCTTGTAGTTCTAAGTCACCATGTTCCCAGCCCCC